GGAGCTGGGCTTGTTCAGCCTGAAGAAGAGAAGGCTGCGAGGGGACCTAATAAATGCTTACAAATATGTCAAGGGTGGGTGTCAGGAGGATGGGGCCAAACTCTTTTCAGTGGTGGCCAGCGACAGGACAAGGGGCAATGGGCACAAACTGAAGCACAGGAAGTTCCGTCTGAACATGAGGAAGAATTTCTTCCCTGTGAGGGTGACGGAGCACTGGAACAGGCTGCCCAGGGAGGTTGTGGAGTTTCCTTCTCTGGAGATATTCAAGACCCGCCTGGACATGGTCCTGTGCAGCCTTCTGTAGGTGACCCTGCTTCGGCAGGGGGGTTGGACTATACGACCCACAGAGGTCCCTTCCAACCCCTACCATTCTGTGATTCTATGGAATGCTATGTGTTCTGCTAAAAGGACGCAGATAGATAGCAGAGAAGAATCGTTATTTTTCATCTATTTAAAAATGTTGTTGCTTGATAAGAGCTGAATTCCAGTAACTGATACTGTGTTTAATTAGAAGAAAAAAAAAAAAAAAAAGGAAGAAACAGAAGCTGGGTTCTTACCTAGGCACTGAGTTTCAGTACCACTCCAGAGACCGTTTGCCAAGCATTCTCTCACGTGAGAACCAACCAATGTGTATCCTGTGTTACAGGTGAATATTGCAGTAGCTCCATATACTGTTAAGGTTCCAATCTTATTTCCATTTGGTGGAGATGGAAGACCACCACAGGAGATAACTAGGAAAAAACCCAAACAACTGAACAAACTGAAATATGAAAATACTTTTCAGAATTTCTTAGAGTGGAAGACAATATACCAGTTCACACTTTCATTAAAAGTAAATGTAATCGGAACAAATATGAGTTGTATTCCACAGTAAAGGCTTAAAATTATACTTGATTTGGCAACACATGATCTAAATCTGAAAATTAATTGGAATATCTTCACATCTTGACAGGAGCCTAAACACAATCCGTATTTCCAGCTCTGAAACAAGGGAATTAAATGAATGTTTGGGAAGGCTGTGGTTATATTTCGTGTGTACATACTCCTGGCTACTCCTCAAATATACTTCCCCCAGCCATTTTAAATGTTATGTGTGTTTAAATGTGTAGTACCCTAAATTGTTATGAACTGTCTTTTCTCTTATTCTTCTCTACTATTCATAATCATATAATATATATGGTAGTCTACTTAGTGATAATACAAATCTTCTGTTTTTTCTTAAGTTTAGAATTGATCTGTTGTCACAGAAAGCTGTAGTATCAGCTGCAATCCACACCTATTACAAGCACCACATGAAAAATTCCCATTTCAGAATGTATCAAACTAATTTAAGTAAAACTGTTCTGTTATGTCTTTTGTTTCTAGAAAAGTACATCAATAATATTGTAATTTAAGATGCAGACCAATTCCTTTAAGAGCTTCAGTTGTATTTCATTATACGTTAGCATAAACATACTTTTAAAAGCATGTTAATCCCAACTAAACTTTCTACCTGAAAGCTCAAGGCCACATTCTCCTGTATTTTAATAGATGCACTATACAAAACAATGTGGAATTGGGTAGAAGTTGGATAAAATAAAGTACATAGCACTGTGCAGTTAACTCAGTCATAATCAGAATATATATTATCAAAGTTTCTTATGCACATAAGGTTCCAAAGGTGGATAAGACTCTTTTTGACTACAATCAAGTCACATTAATGTGATTTGTGGAGTGGTATAACATTGTAACTTCTAGTGCTAATGCTGAATACTAATTATGCTTATGCATATGTTAAAAAACAAATTTTCCTAAAATACAATAGAACAAATTGTTCTAAACATATTACAAATGCTTTATTATTTTAAGTTCTAACGACTCCAGTTAAAAATAACTAAAATACAAGAATAATGAGCCACCTCATGATCTGTTAGGCAGCTGTTCAGCATATTCTTAAACAAATAAAACAAACTTACTAGTTAGGTCTCTCTTAATCCAAAACCCCCTTTGATGATTCACAATTCCTTTATACATACTGTTCACAAGTAGATATTGATAAACATGATCTAAATGCTTTATCGTCAGTGTTTCAGTTGGCTTTCCTGCTGCTTCAGAAATACAAACAGCTAGAATCTATATTTATATAACCTATGCTTAGCATATGAATGACAGACAGAAAGTAAACAGTAGAGTCTTCAAAATACTCTACCGGTATTTCTGGATCTTAATGATCTATATCCAATGGAAGCATTATTAAACATCTCTTGGGGGATGAAGTTTTCCATAACTAAATCCTAATCTGTCCTCTATCAGATGGTAAAAATAATGTACCTGTCTTATAGAAAAAATATTGTATCTTCAGTCGGCAACTCCTTGTGTTTCTGTATCTACCTAATACTTTGCTTTTGATTAACTACATCCCATATGGGTCACCCCATTTTCTACTTACCTAAAAATTCTGAAATTGTAGAGGCTGGTCAAGAACTAGCTTTTCAAAGACTTCTCAGCAGGTGAACAGTAGCTGCATGTTAGGCAGCAAATACAAAACTAGGTTTTTTAGTATGTGTGCACAAAAGGAAAGGGGCATAATTACAGTTATTAGAATAAAAAACTCAGTTTTAAATTTGAAAAGAAAATTGATATAGCTATTACTGGTTTATAAGAGATATAGAAGAGTCACTTTATTTTTTCAACTGAATATTGTCAAAAGGAAATTTTCCTAAAACAAAACTAATGGAACAAACCAGAATCAAAATAACTCCACAACCCATCATAATTTAGATAAGATCAAATACACTGCTTTCATGTATGTATCGTATTGATTGCTGTTACAGGTAGTGCTCTCAGCCTTGTTCTAAAAACATCTTACACATTTTGTTCTTTTCTAGAAAATAAATATTGATTTACATTATTTTAGTTGAATGGTGTACGTCCTTCTTTGTTCTGTTTTCTTTGTTCTTTTCACACACCAGAATCATTCTTTAATACTGCCTCTGTAAATGCCATGCCTTAGGTTTGTAGCCACACACTTCCTAATACCGGTGAAAGATTGCGTCAATTTATACTTGAATCACCCTTGGAAGTGATTCAGTACCATCTGAGACGACTTTGGGTGTTCTGTCTAGCCTCCAGCTGCCATTGAAGAAGGTTGAGAATCTCTCCCAAGTTCTCTTTAGTATCTGTCAACCTAGATGCTGCCACTAGTCTCAGATGGCATTAGCAGCTTGTATTTAGCCAAATTAATTTTGTCTTCTGTTTGTCACAATATGTACATCTTACTGAAGATTTTGCTTAGCCATTTATTTGGAATATGAAAAGCTATCTGATGTTTATGTTCATTCTGTTATCACTATCACAGAATCATATTAAATACTTCTGGTTCCATTTATCATAAGGTATTATTGACATGTCTGCAGACTTAGCAGAGTGTGACAGAACAGAATGATTCTGTTCTCTTTGCTTAAAAAATACCAGAGGGTATAATTTAGTAAGCTGTTCACCTGATCCCAAGAATTCTCTCCTACAGCGCTGCTATAAAAATTTTATTACTGATTCAGATTGTTTCAGAATAGCCAGTCTCAGATATCTTCTAACATTAGAAACCTCACTGAATCTTCTTTTCTATAGTTGCTCTCTAAAAAGAAAATAAAGCATCTCTTTCAGGATGAAATATTAAATTTGAATATCTCATGACATACTACTCCAAAAAATTGAATGCCTATATTTTATTTCCAGTTCTGTGTAGTATGCTAGGCCTATCACTTGGCAATTTTCCTTCAGATGCTGGGATCTTCTGTGCTGCCCTAGCATTGAAAGAAAGCCTGTAAGTACTACCATAATGGAGGAAAAGTTTCTGCTTTAAGAGCAGCAGAACTACCTGATGTGCCAAATACTCTCTCCAACCAACGCAAATGACACTCTGGAAAAAGAAGAAATGAAGTTTTGGGGGGATTAATTAAGACTCTGATACTGTAACCCTTGACATCTCTATGATCCCACCGAGAATGTCATGGTTCTCTAAATCGTTAAACATCCAAAACCAAGGCTGATGTAATTTATGATACTTTCGTATGAAGACATTATGAAAGCTCATATGTACATTTCTCCAACAGTAAAACTTTCATGCTTCACCCAAGAGGTCAAAGCAATATCATCTTCTAATCTAATTCTAATCTGAACTCTTCTAAAGTAATGACATTATCTCCTATCATTCTCTAAATATTTATGCACTATTTAGTTGAATAAATCCATAGTCAGACATAGATCATCATCCACATTGATCATCTGATACTACTTCATTGACTTCTGTATGAAATATATTGTAATTTACACATAAAGAGTTTGAATCATTTAATATCATGTTAATTAAAATTTCATATTTGCTTACTTACAGGAGATTAATAGCAACTTTTTTTAATTGAGCTTTATATTGTTTATAAAATAAAATATACGTATTAAAAAGCATAGGCTATTCTGTAAACAAGTATGTTCCTTACCCTTGCAACTTGGCCTTTCATTGCCTACACTCCAGGTTCCATTAGTCCTGCACTGTATGAGTCTTTGACCCAATAAATAATATCCAGGACTGCAGCTGAGCATGACTTGAGCTCCATACTCATTCAGTGACCCAGAAATCAGTCTCCAGACAACATGTTCTGAGAGCAGAGTATCTATGCTGGGACAAGTTACAGCTGTGGAAAAAGGACACTTAGATTAGCACTCCACCACTAAGTTTCTTCACAGAATATATGTCTTGCCTCACAAGCAGAAGTTTTGTAATGTAAAATTGAGCACCATCAGCATTTCTGAAATACAAGTTCCAGGAAAAATAATGAACATCTTACAGTGAGTATTACAAATTGAGCAGGAGGAGTTTGTGTGAGATGCAGTGGAACAATGACATACAGTTATGCTCTCTAGTGCGATTTATTTAAAAATTTCAGAGACAAAACACATCACAGACTACAGTGTAAAAGGGAAAGCAAATAATGCTATGTACTTTTTGCAACTGCTCAAATGATGTTTTATTTTTCTGTCCATGATATTCACTTTAGAAAAGCTCTAACAAGTTCTTAAAACAGGTTGTCATAAGAGCTGTTAACACACATTCAAATGCTAATTACTATTAAATGGTATACTGTGCGTATACAGGAAGATTATTACATTCCAGTTTAGAATAACTGACATAAAAAAATTATAACAGAGATTTTTAGAGTGATTTAAGTTCTGTTGCTTTTAGTATCTCAGATTTTACAAGAGAATGCAGTTACAGCCAGTAGACTAGAACTGTAGTTTATGTTTTTCATAAGGCTTAATATAGCTACCAGCCATATATAGCATTTTGAAATATTTTTGAGCTTCAAATTTATGTTCATCAATTCAAGATAAATTACACAGAATGTTTACAATATTTGTGACATTGACATGAATTCTACCTTTATATGCCTGTGTCCCTGTGAAAATTAGACTAGTTTTATGAAACTATTTATGATTATTTAAAAATAGCTGTATTTGTTATCTTATACCATGTTGTTCAGAATTTCCCTGCTATAGAAAAAGTCTGAATCACTTAGTGACTGTTTATATCCAAAGAATACCTTAGAAAACAACTACTACCTCAGCAACGCTTGAGAAAGGCTATACTTTATGAGTAAAAAAAAATAAACAAAAAACCCGTAAGAGAAATTAATTCTTCATAATTTTGTTATTCTTTTTATTTGCTCTTTTGGTTAACGAACACATTGCACTATCAATATTTTTCTGGAATATGAATACCAGAAGACTGACTCTTCCCTTTTACTGCGTTCTTCTTTCTACAAGCCTTTACTTGTCTTTGTTATTGTTACGTGAGCAAAAAAAGTACATCTCATGTTATTCCAGGAATATACTGAATATTGTGACTCTGAACGTACTTGTCTTTTTTTTCCCTGTGAAACAAGAAGTACAATGTCTGTGATGGAAAAATATCTCTATTACAGGAACTTGCTATTATGATTTGCAAGTGCAAAGGCATCTGATACATGGTTGCCATTCTTCAGCAGGTAGTTAACAATCACAAAGGGAAAGGACATTTTTGACTTACTGTATTGTGAACTTACAATGCAATAATTAGAACTATGTTGTTCAGATATACCCTTCTGACTAAATTCACTATGAGCTTAAAAAAAAGCAAAATTATGGTAATGTATTATGCTTGAGAACTAGTGTGGTTTAAATTCGTAAGTATTAGTAAAATAAGAAGACAGTAGGAAATAAATAATCACATAGACCACAGAATCTAAGAACAAAGACCTAAGAACAAAATAGGATCACTTGAGCTTGTTGATAGTTTTGCTATGCTAGTAGAAAAAAACCCACAGATCAAAAAAAAAAAAGCTCTTCTTGTCATTCAACATATTTAAACAGGAAAGGCTTCAAAACCTCAAAATTGATAAACAAAAGGATCACATCACGTCTGTCAATCCAGTCAGCTATGTCAAATTAATCTGTTATCAGTCTAACGTATCTGGACTAATCTAAAATGCCTAAACTAATTAACTGTTTTACCACTGTTCACTGAATAAGTGCTTACCCTTAATAAGTACTTCATTTTACATACCGAACCTTGAAAAAATACTCCAAAACTTACTTACTGACCTCAGGATTTATCAAAGAAAACATTAGGAGACTTATCGGCTATAGTGTTCTGAATGTCCTAGCTAAGAAAAACTTCAGCAATTGCGCTGTATCTGTGATGAGCTGGTGGTGAATCTTTGCCTGTTTATATTAACAAAATCCTTTTTGCATTTGTAATACAACTGACATTTTATTCCATAACTTTTTATGAATCATGTTTCTATAACTAGACATTGTACAAACCTAGTGAAAAACTTAAAAGGGCTTCTAAAATTTCTAATGATTTTCCAATTGACTTCTAGACAAAAATCAACATCTGAACCATCACTGTTATAGCTTAGCACACCATAGGTTCCAAAAATATTTGCAGTGAAATCTGCATATGTTGATTATGCAAAGGTAACATTGACTTTTCTTTGAAATGTTTGATATTAGAGAAATTAGCATAAACCAATGAAGGACTCGGTTTAAATCTTTGAATGAATATATTAAAGGAGAAAAGGAAAACAGCAATAAAGTCATGCAGTTGGAGGGACCATCCCAGGCAATTAAAATGTTAGAAAAATTAATTAACCACAAATTCAATTTCCTAGGTAATGCATCCACTTTACTGCCATGAAAAGGAAAGCAAGTAAGAACAGAGGCTAACTTATTATCCTGTTTCAGCAGTATTTTTGTTAATAAACATGTACCAGTCCAGATCTCAGCACCAACACACATGGAGTCTAACCTACATGGGGACGTTTTATATGTACCTATATAGAGATGTGATATAATATTGTATACCTTCACACTCTTGGTTTACAAATTATAGTATTTACCTTTAGAGAACTGGTGGGGTACCTCATCATAACCAGAAAAAAAAAAGTAACATTGTGATCTTGCAGTAAGTGAACGCATTCTGTCTTCTGACATCTTCAACTAGATCAGTTTTCTTAAAGTCCTATCGAAGCTGACCTTGAATGTTTCCAGGGAGGGGGCATCTACCACCTCTCTGAGCAACCTGTTCCAGTGTTTCATCACCCTTATTGTAAAAAAATTTCTTCCTTATATCTTCTCTAAATCTACACTCCCTTAGTTTAAAACCTTTACCCTTTGTCCTATCACTACATGCCCTGCTAAAAAGTTTGTCCCTGTCTTTCTTATAAGCCTCCTTTAAGCACTGAAACACTGCAATAAAGGCTCCACGGAGCCTTCTCTTCTCCAGGCTGAGTAATCCCAACTCTCTCAGCCTTTCCTCAGAGGAGAGGTGTTCCAGCCCTCTGATCATTTTTGTGGCCCTCCTCTGTACCCGCTCCAACAGCTCCATGTCTTTCCTGTGCTGAGGGCTCACGACATGGAGGATCTCACCTGAGTAGAGCAGAGGGGCAGAATCCCCTCCCTTGACCTGCTGGCCATGCTTTTCTAGATGCAGCCCAGGATACGGTTGGCCTTCTGGGCTGTGAGCGCACATTGACAGATCACGTCCAGCTTTTCATCCATCAGTATCCCCAAGTCCTTTTCGGCAGGGCTGCCCTCAATACCTTCACCCACCAGCCTGTATTGATACTGCGAGTTGCCCTGACTCAGGTGCAGGACCTTGCACTTGGATTTGTTGAATGTCATGAGGTTCACACGGGTCCACATCTTGAGCTTGTCCACATCTGGACAGCATCCCATCCCGCACGTGTGTCGACTGCATCACTCAGTTTGGTGTCATCTGCAAACTTGCTGAGGGAGCACTTGATCCCACTGCTGATGTCATTGATGAAGACACTAAACAGTACTGGTCCCAACACAGACCCCAGAAGGACACCACTTGTCACCGATCTTCATCTGGACATTGAGCCATTGACCACTGCCCTCACTGTCCAGATGGAGATAACTATTCTTTTCTGTCATCTTTAGTACATGAAATGGAGAGAGAGGGAGACCAAGTCACAGGGATATGCAGGAGAAAATGTATACTACTTCTGTTCTCATTTCTATCAGTTTTGAAATTTTCTACCCATTTCAAAACACCCTGTATAAGTTGAAAAAGGAAAATCACTTCTAGAACACTGAAAAATGTAGATTTCTAAATCAGAGGAATTTTACAGGAGAAGGAGAAAGATACACAGGAAAACGAGCACATGGTGAAAAACATTTTAAAACATAAATAAAAAATGTAAATACAAAAGAAGTGTCTCGAATGGACTGACCCTCACCAATACCTTTATATGACTTTGTTTCTTTACAAAATAGTTACAGGTGCTATTCCAGTCATGAATCTCTCTATTCAGAAAATAATTTAGATATCCAAGTGTGGTTCTGGATTGAATTTAGGGAGCAACACATCTAAATTTTGCATTGACAACAAAGTCCTTTTTTGTTTCTGTCTTCTGGTCTCTGTTTTGAAAGACCTTATTTCTCTGCACTTGATATATATTCTGAAGAAAATGAGACACTAAATAAGAAGAATGATTTTCACTAATTAGTCACAAATAAAATGTAATAAGCATGATATAATGATGCAATTTTATATCATAATAGCAAGAGATTATATCATCCAAAGGAGAGGAAGGAAATTTCATTTGCGTTCTTTTCCCTTTTCAACTTGTCACTGCAAAAATCAGCATCTGTTTTTCCACAGTAGCAGACAAAATTCAAATCATATCTGATGAAATTGAACAGACAAAAAATTCCCAAAAGATTGTTCTCTGTGTTTTTTTTTTTTAATCTTAGGAAGATGGAAAATTCTGACTTTTCAAAAGAATACTTTACAGGTGTGTAAAAATGCTGATGATAGGTAAACCAGTGTTTCTCAGCTAACTGTAGTTACAGCTTAATACTTTACATTTGTAATCATGCCCACACAAACTTTCCTTTCTGTTTGAGCATTATCCAAATGATACTAGCTGTGGTAAAAGGTGTTGGAGGCAGTTTATGTGGCATACAGTAAGGAAAGAATCATGCAAGCACCATTTTACGCTCACCTATAGATTGAGACCAAAGTTCTTAGATTTATTCAGATTTCTTTGATACTTCTACACCTTTTGGATGCGATGTTTTCTGGAACTGTATACTACACTCACTTCTCTGACCACCAGTAACGTACTAATTTACAGATTTCAATAGAAAGCTTTTGCATACTTTACACAGCGTCCTGCGTTCATACGTAAAGTTACTACTACATGGCCACTCTCTAAAGAGAGCATTGGCCTGATATAAAGTATTGCCAAAGCATTGACATATATAAAGTATTGACAGAGGCTTCCAAACAGCAATACAGATAGACATCTCTAGTCCCTTTCATCAAGTGCTAGAGATCTCTATGTAGAATAACTGAAGCAAGTTAGTTATTTGTCATTCAGTTAAGCTTTCTTAATAGGTATCTGTTGATTGATATTTCATGTAGCTAAGTTCAATAGCCTAATGTCCACGCTCCTCTGTGTCTTGCTGTATGACCAGCATGAACCATATTTCTCACAATTCAGATCCGATTTAAATACTTCTAATGTAAAGAAAGGAGTTTCAAACCTCTGCCTCTGGCATTATATTATCAGAGATACTTTGCAAAACAAACTGCACTGATTTCAACATTCATTTTAATAGACCTCGGGATAAAATGAACTCATTTATTTACCATTTACCTTTCTGTGCTGTGTTTGCTGCTCATCAAGTCTGAGATGTTTCTGTCTCTGGAGACTACCTACATTTATCCTCACAGCAGTAATACTGCAAAAACAAGTTGTTATGCAGATTGTCTAAGCCTGCCCTTGTCAAGAAAGAAATCTGGGGTAAAGCATCCCTGCCTCTGAATAGCAATCCATTTTGAAAATATTGACTTTAATATTGTCATGTAGATCACTAGCATTTTAGTTTAGCACTTCAGCATTTAGAAGCAATGGGATTCTATTTAAAACTGAATAAATTTTTAGAAAATTTAAAAAAAGATTAAAAAGTGTTATCTATATTACCTTAGGCTATTATAAATATTAAAACTTTCTAATGTTGAAAGTTGTGCTAAATATTAATAATTAAGCTTTGTTTCATAGAGTAGTCATTGTCAGCTTAAGTTTGATCATATCAACAACACAGCTTTTTTTTTATATTTTTCCACTGCAGAAACAGTTTTATTAATTCAGTATTTTTAATCCCCAGCTAGTTTAACTGGCCTCTTCCCTCCAAAAAATTAGTTGATATTTCCGATGATTAATCATTCAAGTTATGTTCTTTGGACCTTGTCATTATTTCTGAGAGAATGAAGTGCAGTTCAATACACTGGAGCACTGCCATCCCTCCGCACATGGCTCTGAATTCAGAGCATGTCTGTGTGATCGCAGCTGGTTTTGAATAATCCTTCTTCTGTATTCTGTGGAATTGCTGTGTTCACTTCTAGGCACTGTCCTTCAAGAAACGTGTAGATCAACTGGAGATTGTCCAGAGGACAATATAGAGAATTACCAGCCCAAAACGTACGTCCATGTCTGCATTACACTGGCTAGTTCTGACAGGAGGCAAAAATGGAGACTAAAGAACTCCTATCCAGCTTAATTATCTACACAAGCAGTACTCTACAAAATAGTTTTTGCTTTTATTACTTTAGAAGCTATATGTAAATAGTTGAAAATCTGTAGTTGTAACTTTATACTGTGAAAATGGAGAAGAGTACATTTTTCATAACAAGAAAATATACATGAAACTGAACTATATAATAATTTTAAGTTGCATTTTTGAAGAAGATAAACAAGGAGTTTTTAATTAAACAAATTTATAGGCCTCTCCTACTTTACTAAATTCTGTGTGATTGTATGTTCCTGAATGGCCATTTCAGGGGATACATATACATAAAGCCTAAACATCACCAGTGAAGTTTTTTCCTGAGAAAGTTCAAGGGAAACATGCTTGAAAAATACAAGCCCACTTACATTTGCAAACAGGTAGCCTCCCTTTGTTGCTCCATAATCCATCTTCTTGACACACTGCTGTTGCTTGTTGAGTAGATTCTAGCTTGAAGCCCTCATTACATTCATATATCAATCTACTGCCCAAAGTGAATTCATTACCTATAACTGAACCATTCCCAGGAGATTCAGGAATACCACAAGATACGGCTGAAAAGAAATGAATGAAAAAAAAAAAAAAGAATTGGCATTTAGTAATATTTTTTTAAATATTCTCCCTGTACTGAAATAAGAAACGTAGGTTAGTAATTTTGACATATCCCATTCCTCACAAATGAAATAAATTTTCCATCAAATTTACGTGAATGCAACAGTATTTAAAACATTGATAAACACTTTAAAGTGCATCTAATATAGACAGACATTTTATAAATCCTTATTTTGTTTAATCATCTAGTCACTGTAGTGACAGAAATTTCAACATAGGCTAAGGGCAATAGTTTATTTGCTAGGGAAAAAATCAAGAAAGTGTCTGAAGTGATTTGGTCCAAAAAGCAATGGACTGGAAAACTCTTAAACGCTTTCTAATAGTCTGCTTCCATTCTCTTAGGACTTCTTTCATTCCTGCACTACCATAAACGAAACTTCTATACATATAAACAAATGTTATGTAAGAATTCAGTTTAACATCTTTGTCTGATGAGAAAAGCACCTACATATATGACTAGACAAGGAAGAGTTCCACTGAAGTTAAGGACATTATTCAGATATTTAAACACTTATTTCCATACTTGAGTAATTCACTTCAGAATGCTAAATATTATGTGTATTCAGGCTTACTCATTTTCCACACCATGAAGGAAATTACTTACTGAATTATTTCCCCCTTTTTTTTTTGCTCCTTCAGAATTTCTCTCCAGATGAGCAGTTATTCTTTCAAGTTCACAAAGTTTAATTTGCTGTCAACTTTGCGAAGTTTGAGTAGCATCTATTTTTTATGGCTTATTTATTTAATTTCTTTATCACAGCTCAGTACAGTTCTTTTAACAGTATCACATACTATACAATTTTAGGGCAGAGTATAATTGCAAAGATGTCTATGTCAGTCACTTTTATGGAAGGTGTCCAGGGCAGCACTGCCTTCTGCCGTCAAACTTCTCAGCTCCCTTGATTTTGATAATGAAGAGAAGAAAGGCAACTTTTCAGTATCCATTTTTTTTAAATTTCTTTTAATGTTATGCTTTATTTTAAAATAGTTATTTATGCACAGAGATTAACTCTAGGTGCATGAATAAGTCGCTAATGCTGGTAAAGAGTTTATATTTGCTCCATGGCACTTCTGAAGGGAAAGTCATAGCATTATTTTCTCTCAAATTATATTAATTTCTGTAAAACAGCAACTTGGAGCAGAGAATCCATCACACTATTACAATGAATCTATTTAAAGTGTTCATATAAACCATTGCATGTGCGTGCAGAATCACTAGCTGCTTTGAGTTTGATATCCAGTTTATTGCTCCTCAGTAAATACATTGAATAAAACACAGCTTTGAAGGTTTCATTTTTAAATATTTACCAATAAAGAGTGGAGTTTTTCAAAGGAAAATGTCTTTTCTGTATATACACTCAATTGTAAGAAGAAGCTCAACACTTTAACAGTTAAAAAGTCCTTTGGGTATTTGTTGCTTTCCCTGTGACACTGTGAAATTTTATTATTTTAATAAAGTCTATATATTTCAAAAAAAGAAATTATAACCTTTGCCTGAAATCTGTTAAACAAAGGTGAAAATGAGTATTTTTTCTTTTTAAATCTAAACTTTATTATCATTTACCCAATTCAATGCAAATGATTAATTTCACAACACATTGTCACGGTACCATAAACACAGTTCTCAAACTCGTTTTCAGTATTCCCAAGTTGTCACATTTGATGTATTTAAATTAAATACAACAAGTACTTTGCATACAATTATAATGAGGAGAGGTAAGCATTATAAAGTGATGAATGGTTAGCTTATTTCAGTCATTTGCTTCCATCTGGAATCTGCCAAATTGCTAATAGAACTGTAGGAATGTTCTAAAATAAGCTGCTTCCTTTGAAACACAACTTATTGGTGCTTTTTTACACCCTAACCTGTGCTGCTCTTGTGTTCTCAAAATTGAGTGATTCTCTCTCAGTGGGTAAGGGCCAAGCCTCTTGCCACTAGAAGGAGTAACAGTGGGACAGAGAAGGGAGAGGGAGGTAATAACCAAGGGGTTGTGGAGACCCACACTTCCTGCTTTTAATGGTGTTAGAGAAAGTGGAGTCGGGGAAGGATAAACACAAGTTTTGCTGCTTCTGGGAGCAGGTCTTTGTATTAGCAGTCATTCCCCATAAGGTCACCACAGCAGGAATGATGTATTTTCAGCGCTCTGGTGTACTCAAAATAGGAAGCCGAGCTCCATCTTGTTCGATGGGCTTTCTGCTCCCCTAATAGCCAATTTAATCCTTTACCTCCAACTAGAATCAGTTCTGACCCTCTATCAGCTAAGCAGAATTTTACATTTGCAAAGTGTTTGTTTACATGTTGAATTAACAGAAAGTTAAACTGTTAAACTGTTTTACTACATCATAAAAATGCCTGTACATTCTCCATTTCCAATCATGCTTACCGTGAAATGTTTCAGTGTCTCCAGAGCCTTGCACTATGTCCCTAACTTGTCCTAACAAGCCTCTCAGTTCTTTTCTGCCTTGTGGGAATGCATCTGAATGCTTGATGTAGAATGTAATTGGGTTAAGATTTAACTTGTTAATTTCTTTTTCAGGTCTCCTTTCTAATATGAAAACAACAGTCTCTGTGTTGTGTGCTACATTTAATTGTATAAAACCAAAATTCATAATTATCAGTCTATCCACCCATCCATGTATGTGTACATCTGTAAATACAGGCGGACTTTGTTTTAGTTCCCTCTAAATACTTCAAACATGAATTAACTTCAAATAACTCAGTTGTTTATACGGAGGAGGAAGAATTCATTATGTCCTTTGAAAACAAAGGAAAAATCAGGTCTGTTTAGTTGACGTTAGAAGCAAATACCTCTGTTAGCATTTGCTCTTCACCTCTAGCAATAACCTTTCTAGAAACTACTGAAAAGTTCAAGACTGAGTAGCTCTTATGCGTAAATTAGTGTAAAGAATAAAAGATGTACAACACCCGGGTCACACCCGGGTGGGTCTATCAGTTATGTCAGGTCTGATGCAATGTCCAGTGTACTAAAGCACCTCCCAAGTCTATGCTTACCTGTCACACTTCACCACTTTTATTCTTAATGTTGTACTTCAGTCCTTTCCTGTCTCTCTTCTTTCCTCAGCTGCTGCTGCAACTTTGACTGCTACACCCTG